AACCGAGATATTAGGCAAAAAGAATAGTAATGTTGAAGAACAATATAGTTTTATTGGGGATTATAAGTCACAAGGAGTGGATGCATCTGCGCCAGCCAGTGAGAATGATGAGTTTGACCTACGTCACTAATTGTTTCCAGCCATTGGTTTTTACCGTCCCGAGGACCCCAACTAGGAAACCAGTCTACACCTCCTTACGTGGCTGGCTTAAACTAATTGTTGTGGATTTCATTGACTGATCAAGCCATGTTTCGGTTTGACCACCAGTGGCCCTTTTCCAACCTGACCATATGTCAGCTAACATTACCATTCAGAGCTCAGTGTAAGCCTATACGAATTAAACTGTATCAAATTTTATCGACCATTATTTCACTCCATACAGTTAGATATTCATCACAAAAACATGTATAATGCATACATTATCCACTGTCTTTCAATAGAAAACTACATTTGCTAGTTTATTTTAGTTTCACACACACACTTTCACGTTTCAGAATTATGAAAATGCTGAAAACATTTGTTACCACGCAACAACCAATCAAAATTCATTTTAAGCGATTATGAAAATACGGGAAAGTAGTGTCCAATATTCATATTACATATTATCAACCATACAGTATGCTTTACTAGAATTACACACAAACATGCACAAAATATTAACACAGTGTTTAGGCACAATTCAAGGCTAATGTGAATATCACGTATTTTATGTTACTTTCACGTGTTTTCATAGCCAAGGTGAATCGCTCTATGCACACATAATCGTCTGATTTTAAACCAATAAAAAGACGGTAAAATTTTTATTTAAATCACTTATTCTTATTCCTACACCACTATAAATATCTCTCTCAACTTCCATACTACTAACTACAATACACGAACAGATAAATCAATTTATTTGAAGTCATGAGTGAATCAAGAGCCAGACAATATTTCGCCAAAGAATGTGAAGATGCTCTGAACAAACAGATCAACATGGAACTGCAAGCTGCATACGACTACATGGCATTCTTCACCTACTTCGATCGAGATGATGTCGCCTTCCCGAAGGCTGCTGAATTCTTCCGAAAGGCATCACATGAAGAACGTGAGCACGCTGAGAAATTGGCGAAGTATGTGAACAAGCGTGGTGGTCGTGTTCAGTACAGCGGTATCAAGACTCCAACGAAGACGGAATTCAGCGGTTTGGAGGATGCGATGAATACTGCACTTGCAATGGAGAAGGCAGTAAATGAAGTGAGTCATTTAGACAGTTATAGGTCTTTACATTACTATGTGGATCAAAAGCAGAATGCACCTTATGTTGTCATTGCTTTATTCAAATTTATTAGGAGGGATTCGTGTAAGAAATCCAGTACTTATTTGTTAGGTTGCGTACATGCACAGCTACACTTGACAGCTATTAGTGATGCTATTTATTAGTTCTTTAGCGCTTGAATTCGTAATGAAAGTAGAAAGATTTTCCCTAAAATTACATTCACGCCACTCACTTCATGATAACTGATTTCAGCCACACGTTGTGTAGCTAGAAAATCATTTTGAGTAGCTTTCAGCTAAGATTGAATCAAAGAATTTGCATTATAAGGAATGAGGCCATCAGTTTGACTTGCAATCAAAGCACAGCTGACTGATGTACGGTGTGAGTGATGGAAGGTGTTTATCTGTCCTTGAGGAATTATTGTGTCAGGACATTATGTGTTCCTTGTCGAATTCACTTGCTGAAAGATAAATAACTCTGCATAGCTGCCTAGATATCACCAATAAAACAGCTTATCTTAAGAGCTAATGAGACTCGCAATCTAAAATCTTTTAATTATGAGAAATTTAAGCTATCTATCGGCATCAAAGATTTAAATTTAAATGAGGAGCATTATTTCAATAAAAGCACACAGGGATATTGCATTATTTACTGATGACACTTCGATCACAATCATTGCTCGTTATCCCATCAAGGTGCCCACATAAATTTCAAGCTTTAGTTTATATAAGTGAATGAGCAGTATTTCAAACTTGGAACGTTCTAAGTACAGTCATACAGTATACCGTCTATTTTAAAAAATTTACATGGTTTATTTTCCATTACGGTCCGAATTGTGTCGCTCACTTCTTCTCTTTCATAAAGACAAATAGAAGCATAAAACGTAGTAGTTTGAACTTCACTTGGTAATGAGAAATAACCACTTAACTGAATGGACTAAAATCGGCATCAACTCTTTCCATGGTATCTGTTAAGTGTTTCTCAATTTGAACACCTTTAGTACAGAGCAGATTCAAGAAGTCAGATGATATGAAACTTTCCACGATCTTGCTACACATCCATTTGTAGCAAGAATACATAATGCAGGCTATCCATTTATTGACAATCAAATCAAAGTTTCCATTGACTACATGGCATAACTTCAACGATAATTTGACTCATTCAATAAAATGGATAGTAGCTTTAAGTGATGAAAGTACAGCTGTCACATTCCAATTTATCCTTCAATAGACAATTTATGCACCAACTGAATCTGCTCTATTATTTAAATCTCACCATACACCAGCCACTAGAGATTGTAGCTCAGACAAGATGACGCCTTAACTGTCAACTTACCAACCGGTGGGAATCATGGTGTCATCTATGTTAGACTTTTCTTTGAAAACCACTTATTATTATATATGGTCAAATAACTTAATGTTACCAATTTTCTTTTCAACTCATTCATAGTCACTACTGAAATTACACGCAGTGGCAGTGAAGAACAATGATCCAGCATTAACAGATCTTCTTGAAAGCGAGTTCCTGCATGAACAAGAAGATGCAATCAAACAATTCGCCGACTATATCACACAGACAAAGCGAGTTGGCAGTGGACTTGGTGAATATTTGTTCGACAAGCTGACACTAAATGAATGAATGAATGAATGAAACTTATTTGTATACCACTGACATTGTTAATGATCTGCACACTTTTTTATTTCTGAAGTAGTGTGGTTTTGTAAATACATTGATATTTTATTCCATGTCTATTTTTGTCTTTCTTGAGAGCTGGTCACTTTTTGAATATTAAAGTGGAGTTATGAAGCCAGTATATGCCAACTGAAATAGATAGTAAATAGGTCTCCCAAAATAGCGGCAAGGGATATTATAAATGTTCAGACAGGTGACGTAACATTAAGTCATTGGGAGTTTTGCGTAGTCGTTCATAATTAATCTATTTAGAACAAGTTTAATTTCAGTAAGTTACTGTCGTCAGTCATAAATGATTTTCCCCTCAGAAATCCAAACTCCTAATTCAGACATTGTATTCATGCAAATTATTGCCTTGTTCTTGCTCTGAGCCCCTTCACTTGAATATAATACACTGTTGCAAAGTAGAGGCTTACATTTTTGTGATTGTATTTCATTCATCGCAGAAAAGATAAAGCTAAATAAGACATTAAGAAGACATGGTTTCGTTTCTTAGTTCCTCTACAATCGCTTTACAACTAGCATAGTTCATAATAATAAAATAAAATAAAATGTGTGAACAATTACCAAGCATATAAACACTAATAACCAATCATATTTCAGTAGGTCAAGTAGTCCATGATAGGCTGTTATTAAGGCCAACTTCGTGACCAGACATTAATAAGTGCTTTACATTGAATGATGATTGATTTCTATTCAGATTGGTAGGGGTTTTGTTTGGTTGGTTGGAGGATTTCATCATCAGCTGACATCAGCTGGAGAGCCATCGGAAAACCTGGGAGTAATGGATAGCTATTTCGTCCTAGTCTGAGACTAGCCCTATTCAGGCAGTGACCTGGGGTTCTAGTGGGAAGCCGTGACCAGTGGGGTGCGACAGGTTGAAGGTGAGGCAGTAACTCATCGAAGAAGACATTGCAAAGTGGTCGCGCTACGTCATGAATTGGCAGAAGTTAGAATTCATGGACTGGCCACTGGATCGGTTCCCAGTGGCTTAATGGTCTACGAGATCGCTAGTCTTGTAACCAGAAGGCCCTGAGTTCGAACCCCGGTGGTGGTGCGTGCTGTGTAGAGTCCCAAACTAGGCTGACGAAACAGCTGTCCGGTACTCTCATGTTTTCCAGTGGTTCTCTAACTGATGTCAGCTCATGATGAAATCCTCCAACTAATTTTCTATGTAACTTAATTACCCCTTTGGAACATGTTCTTTTCGAAGACATTGGAACATTCTACTAATTCTAACTTAATATGTGTCACCATAACTGCAGGTGAACTTGTAAACGTCAAGTAGAGTCCTTGGAATTTCGTCCTCTAATTGTAGGTACAGGAATCGAGAATGTTTTGAGATGTAAGCGAAAGACAATGGACGTAGAATCTGCACTTGATAGCTGCTTGTCAATAATTTCACATAACTGTAATTCAAGGTTATTAAAGTTGATGGAAGCACTTTGGATTAATCACATTCATCCCAAACACTATGTACAACAAACAATAGACTTCAACCGTTACCTATCATGGACTATTTGATCTACTGAAATATGATTGGCTATCAGTGTGTACTTTTGTATTATATACCTGGGTAATTGTTCACACATTTCATTTTTTTTATTATAGCTTGATTCCAAACAGTATTTTTCGTACAAGTATGGAATTTTCAGCATGTGATATCAGTAAACCAAATTTAGTAGGCCGACCACTGATATCAGGTGTGCTAGTTATTAAGCGATTGTAGAGAAATAGCGAAATCAAATCACGTCTCGATGCTTGTCTTCCTAATGCCTTATTTAAATTGCAAAATATAGAAAAAATCCCCATTTAGACATTTAGAAAACAGAAAGATTGAGCGAAGAAATATTTACTTTACAATTAGATCCCCATCTCTGGCCCTACTCTAATACATATATAGCATTTTTATTACAATACACAACAGTTTACCAATCAAGTGGCGATACGTTTGTTAACAATAATTAGTCAGTGTCAAAATGTCAATGGGTTGATAATTAACGAAGAAAATCAATGCACATTTAAAAGGTAGAAAAGGTTAGAATAGATTAATTTTACAAGGATAACACGTAAATAAAGATGAAGTGGTCAGAAAAAAATAAAATAATTTGGACAATTATCATTTTTATAGTTTTTAAAGGTTTAGGGGGAGGGGGCGAAGTAGTCCGGTTTATACAGTCATGTAACGATGGCCAAGGCAAGGAAAGTGGCTGTACAAATTTTTTCTGAACACACAAGTTTGGCTTCTTCAGGTGGATTCCTATGGCTTCAGCTGTCTGTAGAAGACGAACTCGTAGAGCAAAATTAAGATTAGTAGGAATGCGATAAATAATTTTAAATGCAGTATTAACATCAACCTTATGCTCACTATCTACAAGGTGTGCTAAAATAGAGCTACGAATAGATCTTGTTTGTCCCTTGCTTAATCATGTTGGATGATGAACCTGGCTAATTGTACACCCAATGTAGCTGGCTCCGCAGCTGCAGTCAAACTGTTAGATACACATAGAAGAGGCACATTTAGGCAGGTATCCTTATTTCTCGAACGTAGAATGCGGGTGGTTGTGAAGAGACAACGTACATCTGCTGCATAGTAAGCTCTTTTAACTGCATTCTTCAGGCGCTGCGTTATGATTTCGCTGATGTTGTCTCCGAGGAAGTGCAATTTTATGAACATTGATTTCTTCTGAACTGCAGCCATACTGACTCTCCTTGGTGCTGAATTCATATTTTTCTCAATGAATTTATCTGGATAACCATTTTTTCTAAGTAATTCTCTAATAATCTTAAGCGCCTCATTGAGGCAGTCGTGTGAAAAGACTAACCTGGCTCTATGAACCAGACACTTCACCAGGTTACGTTTATATTTCAGAGGTACAAAATTCAAAAAATGAGTGTACTGACCTGTTGTTGTAGGTTTCCTATACACACTCCTTCTTAGTGTGCCATCTTCTTTCCTTGCCATGAAGACGTCTAGGAATGAGATACTGTCATTACTTTCTTTCTTTATGGTAAAGTTTATTGCTGAATGTGCATCATTAAACTTGTCAAGGATGTTCATTGCATTATTCTTGTTTTTCATAACCAGAAATGTATCATCCATATATCGACAGTAGAAATCCAAGTCATTAATTACTCCTTTCAGTGGTCCATTCTCCAACTTTGTTAGAAAAAAATTAGCTAGGATTGGACCTAATGGGGAACCCTAATATATACGCAGGTGAATCATTAATATTCATTATTTATTTCACACACTAGCATAATCATTGATTTCACGCATCTGCGTGATTATTGATTTAAATTACTGAATTCCCAAGGTCGTTAATATTTTTAAAATGTGACATTGATTTTTCTAATTGTATAAATACGGAGTTGTTGTTTAACATTTTCGACTGTTGTTTGAGACAGTAAAAGCTCTCATATCAACGTCCAGTCTTCTCTTTTATTTGTCTTGCGTGCCCGGCGGTATTATTGTTGTTGTTGTTGACGTGCGATTAGGACAGATTAGCCAGCGCATTAAATTAGATTCGCTCGTAGTCTACAAGGTCCTCATATTCACATACATAACAAACCCATAGTCTGTAATATTCCTTATTGAATAAGAAATGAACATTCATTGTACATCTTAAAATAAGTTCCTTCAAGGTGGATACAGAAATGCCGATGTCCATGTTTCGTGTAGTAATCTCCTCACATATAAAATCTACTGTCTCCATTAGTGGTACATTGGTGAACAAGGAGGATACATCAAAAGATATCGTAAACGTGTCCTTCACATTAAGATCTCTCATTTTTCCAACAAATTCAAAACTACCGTTTACGCTATGTTTTACCGATTCATTATGTAGAGGCTTTAGCAGCTTCACTAGCCATTTTGTTGTTACGTGATATGGGGAATTACCCATGTCCAACACTGGTCGAAGCGGCAGACCAATTTTATGCACTTTGGGTAGTCCATATAATCTTGGATCTAATTGAAAAGTAAATATTTCTTCGCTCAATCTTTCTGTTTTCTTATTTAAACTTAACAAAAAGATCAAGTGTTTCAACATAAGGCTAAAACAAACTAAAATGAAGGTTTACTGATAAAGCCTCTGACACATAAACTGTATGATTTTGGATAAGTTTTTGTGGCTCGACGTCATAAACCATATTATAATTATCATCAGTATGCAGTATGAAGGGAAATAAGATCACGTTTGGTAATCTGACAGATAACAAATCTGATGGAAGACAGTGTTCTGAACTGATAAAGATAAGCGGTGTATTTTAGGGTTCCTCGCTTCACCTGGTTAGCGTGAACACACCGTCGACACACATCAACCTCAGTTATCTACAAACATTTGTGTTTTTCAGCCTTTCAAGTATTGGTAGTATTCACTTTTCAATTGTTGAGTCATACAGATAAAAAAAGAATAACAGCCATTTGAATGTGATTCCCTGTTTTCAAAATGCCAAATATTACGTAAACGTCTGATACAAACATAAAGTAAACAATATTTATGCAACAGATAACAGACAGGAATGTCATTCATCCACTGTTAAATACACATTAAATGACATTAATTACCGTGGTGAGTGAATGTCACTGTTAAATTGTTGAAATTACAAGGATGATGAGATCGATATCGTATGATGTGTTGTAAGTTTATTGATCTTGAAGAATTTTAATTTCTTAAATAATATTAAAGATAAGATTGAAACATGTTGAATATGACAGAGTATATTTCCACAATAGAATGATTTATTTGATGCGTATAATGATACAGTTTCATGTATTTACCGTTTTTGAATATTACAGTAAATAAGTGTCACTTTCCACTTGGTCAAAATGAATTATTCTGTTACGCAATGTTCTGGCCGATAATAAGGACGACGTATCTGAATAGATATCTAACTAAATGTCTGATTTGAAGTTTAAACTTTAAATGGCAAATCATATTCCCGTATATGTGCAATATACTGGTGAGAGAATTCGACGCTATTCACATCAAACTTATCTACACTTAAACTCGTTAACTTTCCCAAGATTGGGACTCTTCAAGGCTGAAA